TTTTGTGGAGGCACCCTCTCTCTCTCTCTCTCTCTCTCTCTCTCTCTCTCTCTCTCTCTCTCTCTCTCTCTCTCTCTTTTTAGATCCTAAAACTTCATTCATTCCTCTGAACATCAAATAAAAATTTCATCTTTCCAGAAATTTCGTGGCTTTTTATATAAAAAATCTTCGATTCTCATCAACATTTCCCGATTGATCGTTTCTGGGTTATTATCATAGGTTGTTTGGTCTTCGGGGGGGGGGGAGGTGATTTAATAGTTTCTGTTTCTGTGGTTTTTTTTGGATCTTCCGAATCGATTAGTGTATGGAAGGGTGTCTCTTGTTGATACCCGTACGTACGAGAAGACGATCTATGTTGTTTCTTTTTTCTTTAGATTTTTCGAGATTAGAGGAGCTAGTTTTTGTTTTTTCTTCTTCATTAGGAAATGTCTGTTGCTGATGTTGCTTTGAGCCCGATTCATACAGGATCGGGGTTCGCTTTTCCTCACGGACCATCCTCCACGCACCACTCTTTCAAATCTGTTTTGGTCTTCCTCAGTGTTTCTGGTTCTACGATGCCTATGCTCATCTTGGACTCTGATTCCATCGCCGAGGTTAAGCTTAGGATCCAGACTTGTAATGGTTTTAGGGTTAGAAGACAGAAACTTGTTTTTAGTGGTCGCGAGCTCGCCAGGAACGCCTCTCGCGTTAAGGACTATGGTGTCACTGCTGGTAGTGTTCTCCATTTGGTCCTTAAGCTCTATGATCCCTTGCTTGTCACTGTCCTTACCACTTGCGGCAAGCTCTTTCAGTTTCATGTTGATCGTCGTAGAAATGTTGGGTATTTGAAGAAACGGATCTCTAGAGAGGGCAAAGGGTTTCCTGAGGTTGATGATCAGGAGATCTTGTTTAAAGGGGAGAAGCTTGATGACAACATAATCATTGATGGGATTTGCAAAGATGGCAACTCTGTTATCCGTTTGCTGGTTAAAAATTCGGTGAACGAAGCTTGTTATCTTCCTGCTCCTCTGGAAGACACTGTGGAAAGAGAAGAAGACGCTGCTTCTGGTAAAGACTTCTTGTTAGAGCCTGTTGTTCTTAACCCCTCTGTGAAATTACCCAAGGTTCTCGAGGAGATGATTGACCGCACGGTCGATGGGTTGAACAAAGGTAATCCACCGGTGAGATCAGATGAAGGAACGGGAGGGACGTATCTAATGCAGGATTCTTCAGGTCTCAACTTTGTATCTGTCTTCAAGCCCATGGATGAGGAACCAATGGCTGTTAACAATCCTCAGCAGCTTCCTGTGTCATTAGACGGTCAGGGATTGAAGAGAGGAACTAGAGTAGGACAAGGGGCAACTAGAGAAGTTGCAGCTTACTTATTAGATCATCCAAAAAGCGGACCAAGATCTGTGTCTAAAGAAGTTATGGGCTTTGCCGGTGTGCCACCAACTGCTATGGTCAGAAGCTCACACAAAGTGTATAATTACCCAAAGGGATTTAACGGTTCTATTACAAAGGATGCCAAGGTTGGTTCATTGCAAATGTTCATGAAGAACAATGGAAGCTGTGAAGACATTGGCCCTGGAGCTTTTCCTGTTGAGGAAGTGCATAAAATCTGTGCCTTTGATATAAGAATGGCAAATGCAGATCGGCACGCTGGAAACATATTGACCGGGAAAAGTGAAGAAGGGAAAACTGTTCTTATTCCCATCGATCATGGCTATTGTTTGCCCGAGAATGTAAGGCTCTCTTCACAACTTTATCAACATTGACCCCTTCAGTATATATCAAGAAGTAAAACTAACTAATTTATTGGAATGGGGTTTGCAGTTTGAAGATTGCACATTTGAGTGGCTTTACTGGCCGCAAGCAAAACTCCCGTTTTCTGCAGACACTCTTGACTACATAAACTCCCTAGACTCCGAACAAGACATCGCCCTTCTGCAACACCATGGCTGGAATGTTCCTGAAGCCGTCTCGCGTACGCTACGAATCTCCACAATGCTGCTGAAGAAAGGCGTTGAGAGAAACCTAACACCGTATCAAATAGGAAGCATAATGTGCAGAGAAACGGTGAATAAAGACTCAACGATTGAAGAGATAGTGAGAGAAGCTCATAACTCGGTGTTGCCTGCGTCAAGTGAGGCTACATTTCTTGAAGCAGTCTCTGTGGCCATGGATCGTCGTCTGGATGAGCTAACTAAGTAACCTTTCTTTTAAGTACATAATGAAGTTGGTTTTACGGTATGTATGTATGTAATGTATCTATAATGTTGAGAAAAACGTTGATAGGCTCTTCTTGGATAATTTTTTTCTTCCATGAACGAAGCCTCTAAGCTTTTGTGTGTTTTTTTTCTTTCCCTAAACCATGAATAAATGTTGATGTCTTTTTTGTTTGTACTTTGTATTGTCAAACTCTGGTCTGTTAGTATTTAAAGTTACCCTGGAAGATACAACAAAGCAAGGAGGAACCTATCTGCGGGCAATTGTGTCATTTTCTCTCTAGTGATATTAATCTTTTGCAAGTTGGATCCAACCGAAGTAAACATAAATTTGGCAGTGTGCTCTGATTCATGAATCATGTGTCTGACTTGTGTGAATTTTCCTAGATACTACTATAGGTCTCCAATAAAAGAGCAAATCTCACTTAAAATGGACACACTCGACAGTTTCACCCACTACGTGTGGAACAAAAAAATATCATGTGTGACTTTGGAATCTTGTTTTATCTTTCTTATTAAAATAGTAAATGACAAAAACAGTCTTGATTAATGCAATAAGCTGAGTGGTGAAATTTAATCAACCAGTCTATCTCACTTGTTAAAATGATCTCTCTAACCTATAATGTTTGATGTTTCATACATCTTCCCAAATTTAAGCTTTTGTGTTATGGGTAGTGACTATAAATAAAAATGGAAATATGTGAATGAAGAAGTAAAAGGCTTTTTGATGTTTTGCTTCATTGGTTGTCCTAAAAAAGACATAATAAATGCTCTCTCTCTCTCTTTTAGTTTGAAGTCTCTCTACTCTCTCTACTCTCTCTACTCCACTCTCTCTCACTCACTCACTCTCTGCTTCAACACTATCCTCGTCTCCAAACACTCTCCGATCTCGGCAATGGCCAAGCCTCACGGTCGTCGCCGTTCTTCCGGCCGAACAAATCTAGCTTCTTGCGCCGTCGCCACCGTGTTCTTGCTAATCCTACTCGTCGTCCTCCTTGTAGTTTACTTCACAGTCTTCAAACCGAAAGACCCCAAGATCTCCGTTAATGCCGTCCAACTGCCGTCGTTCGCCGTCTCCAACAACACAGCTAACTTCACCTTCTCTCAGTACGTCGCCATTAGAAACCCCAACCGTGCCGTATTCTCTCATTACGACAGCTCTATCCAGCTTCTTTACTCGGGTAATCAAGTCGGGTTTATGTTCATACCCGCTGGTAAAATTGATTCGGGTCGGATTCAATACATGGCCGCTACTTTCACCGTTCAATCTTTCCCCATTTCTCCTCCTTCCTCCTCCGCCATTTCCACCGTTTCCGCCGCCGTTGTTCCAGATTCTCCGGTAATGCCCGGTCCTCCGGATTTCACAGTAACTCCGAGAAACCCAGATGCGCCGTTTTTACCGGGAAACCCGGAAACACCTGATTTACCGGGAAACCCAGAAACGCCGGATATTCCTGGAAATCCGGGTCCTCCGAGTTTTCCGAGGAATCCAGGCTCGCCGCAGTTTCCAGGGAACCCAGGAGCTCCGGTTTTACCGAGGAATCCAGGCTCGCCGGAGTTTCCAGGAAATCCTCCGATAATTCCAGGTGCTCCGGCGTTTCCGAGGAACCCGAACCCACCGGTGCTCCCAGGGAATCCAGGGTCGGGTAACCCGAGAAATATGGGTCCTCCGGGTTTTCCAGGAACCGGAGCTCCACCGGGTTTTCCAGGAACCGGAGCTCCGCCGGGAGGATTCGGCGGGGGAGGGACGGGGCCAACACTAGGAGATGGATACGCAAATCCGGGTTTCGGGTACGCGAATAGGGTCGGGCCAACGATGGAGATAGAGTCGAAGATGGAGTTAGCGGGTCGGGTGAAAGTACTGCACGTGTTCACACATCACGTGGTTGCTAAATCGGATTGTCGGGTCACCGTCTCTATTGCCGATGGTTCCGTCTTAGGCTTCCATTGCTAATTTTTATTTCTTTTTTTCTTTTCGGTTTCTTAAAATCGTATTTCCTCCTTTTCCACTAATTTTTTGTTGTTGCTCCTTTTAAGTTTGAGGAAATTAATTAGAATTGTAAAAATTATTATTTTTCTCCTAAAAAAAAGAGTAATTTAGTTCATAATTTTTGCTAATTGCTATCCTTTGCATGTAGTTTTAGTTAATGGATGATCACGTTCTCTCCTTCGATTGAGCTTCTGTATTCCATTTCCGAAAGGTTAGTTTTATACTTTTATAGAGTAAAGTGATTCATTGCATATGTTTGGATCTAAAGAAAAGGTGTTAAAATGTTTTATCAAAGTAAAGAGAATATACCAAAACAAAGTGTAATTTTTTTGAATTTTGTTGTGTTTATGTATTTGAAAATTTGAATAGACCATATTGTTGAATTTTGTAATTTCAAGAAGTCAAACAAAGGAGAAATAAATAAAGAGAAAGTGAAGTCACATCATTGGAGAGATCCCACTATCCTTGAGATTTGTGTATTTTTCTTCAATATCCTTTTGTCCTTTTTTTCTTTGTAATTTTCTTCATTTCAATAGTTACAGAGTTTTAACACTTTTCACTGAGAAGTTGAAAGTGAAGTTATCTCTACTGCAGTTGTGTAATTGGGTTTTTTTTTTTGCTCTGCTCATTGTCATAAATGCGTAAGAACACTTTTAGTTTCAATCCATACAATAAAAAAATTCTTGAAAATAGCATACAAAATCCATTAAAAATAAAAATTGAATTCAATTCCTATTTAATACAAATACTCAAATATAGAGTCCCATGAAAGATGATTTCCTAAGAGAGATGATACAAATCCAATAAACAAAAGAATCCACTTAAGTTAAACCTATGCGTATATATAGATATAAAATTACAAAAGGAGAAAGCAGAGATATGAATAGAGAGAAGTAAGTTCTCCCTCACTGTGTTTGTTTTGGCTTCAGAGCTAAAACCTGAGTAGTGTGCGTTGTTGTTGTAACATAAGATGAGAAAGCCCAAGGAGCACCCAAAAATTATATAAGAAAAGAATGGAGTGTTGTTGGATATATAGCTTTTTGTTAAGTCGTGTCTGGTGAAGAACCGTAACCAAAGGGATTGTTGCTTGCCCAGTTCCATTGGTCCCTACACATTTCTTCGATTCCAAAATTTGCCCTGTCCACAGATTTTGAGTTTCTTCTGTCTTAGAAACTTTGCCAAAAAAAAAAAAAATCCATGATAAATATATACATTCGTTGGAACTCTTTACTTACTTCCAGTTTAGTTCCCGTTCAGCTTTTTCTGTTGACGCATAAACGGTTTCTGCATCACCTGGTCTCCTTCCAACCTTCACTAGTGGGATTTTCTGTACACATTATTTCAAACTATCAAGTCACTGTGATGTAAAGAGTAATAAACACATACTTGCGTGCGCACACTCTTATATGATTTTGTGCGTATAGCGACAGAGAAGTGATCTTCTTACCATTCCAGAAGCCTTTTCAAATGCATCAACCATCTCCAACACCGTTGTTCCTTTTCCGGTTCCCAGGTTGTATACCTCACAACCTAACACAACAGAGCCAAGTCAGACACCTGACCTTGTTTGTATATACATAAGCAGGAGACAATGAGGTATTTAAGAAAAGAAGAAAAGCCTACCTATTTCTGTATTGTCTAGCTTCTGAAGTGCGCATATATGGCCATCTGCTAGATCAACGACATGAATATAATCTCGTACCTGAAATTGAAAAAGGCCTAGAAGATCAATACAACTCATCACACCCAGATTAAAGCAAGATTATTCCATCACAAAGTATTGGGTCAAGTTGAAGTCAACGACTGAGGAAGGAAATTAATTCTCATGTAATCATTGAAGCAAGAAAAGTGAACCTATCTAAAGATCATGGCACTTAAAGAGTTCTAGTGATGACTCAAATCGATCTAATGCCTCTCATCTAGGATATGGAGCAACAATTCCTTAGATTCCAACCCATGGACCAAAAGTAAAGATTTACATAATTTATGTGGAAGAGTGATAAAAAGCAGGTCTATGTGAGAACGATGCAGGGATACAAAGGACAGTAAAAATGCAGGATCCTTGTATTAAGGATGTGAAAGTCTTACACCGGTGCCATCTTTAGTGGTATAGTCGGTTCCATAAATTTTTAGGTTAGGCAGCCTCCCAACAACGACTTGCTGGACATAAGGCATGAGATTATTTGGAGTTCCACAAGGATCTTCGCCAATGCGACCACTAGGGTGAGCTCCCACAGGGTTAAAGTACCTCAACATTATGATTCTCCACTCAGGATCACCACGTTGTACATCACGGCAAATGTCCTCAATGAACAGCTACACAATGGGAAACATTTCAGGATAAATACCAATAAAGTCGACAAAAAAAGCTTTCAGCTTCAGCATCGAAAACTACAAGTACCTTTGTCCGTCCATAAGGACTCATCCCAGACAGGGGAGACTCTTCTGTACAAGGGACCTCCTTTGGCCAGCCATACACAGTAGCGGACGAAGAAAAAACAAGCTGATTGAGATCAATGACAGAAGGTTAAATCATGTTTCACATATGTAAGGGAAACCAAAAAAAAAACTGTAATACAGAACAGAAGAAGGGATTACTTTTTTACATCCGTGTGCAGCCATTACTTCCAAAAGTGTAATAGTCCCAATCAAGTTATTGTTATAATACAGAAGCGGTTTCGCCACGCTCTCGCCGACTGCTTTCAATCCAGCAAAATGCATTACTGCATCAAACCTACATTTACAGACACAAAGAGGGAATAAATCACATTTCTGGAGGATTGGAAACATGAAGCATTTCATTTAGATCTGATCTTATCACAAAACATACAAAGCTAAGCTCTCTGTTATAATAATCACTCTTCCTAGGCTTTTTGGGATCAACATCTATGATCTTAAGGCTCTCTATTAAGAATCCGAAATCAAAGTCAAAACACATGAGATTTAAGACTTGGAACATTTGTATGCCTGGGAATGAGTATAATAGTAAGAAGAAAATACTAAAAACTCACTTTGATTCGGAGAAAACCTTCTCAAGTGCGGGTTTATCGCGAAGGTCCACCTGCAGGTATAAGATACATCAGCCATCTAAATTTGCCAAATGAAAAACTCAGATTGCTGGTAATGTCAAGCACAATTCGATCCAGTAATCGAGTACGACTACAAGACATTTGATCAACATAACTCCCAAATCAAGCATTGTAAGCAAATCGAGATACACAAAAAAAATATCTCAATTCATGATTTGCAGAAATTCTCAGAATGCAATGGACCAAAGAGAAGAGCAGGGGAAAAGATGGCCAGACCTGGTGGACGGTGAGATTTTGACCATGATCTCCGGCGAGCTCCTTGACGCGTTGGATCGAAACGAGAGAGGAATTGTCGAGGTTGTCAATGACAACGGTCCTGTAGCCGCCGAGAAGAAGCTGAAGAACCGTGTGGCTTCCGATGTAACCAGCACCGCCGGAAACGAGAATATTCCCCACCATCGAAGCTCCAAGAGGCGATGAAGAGAGAGAGAATCAAAAGAGAAGCTTCTCTGGAAAATACTAATAACTAACCTTCTTCTTTGTTTTGGGAATAAAAAGAGGAGGGGAGAAGAGAAGACACGTGGCTTTTTCATTTTTTTAAACCTTATTATTATTAGTAATTAATACTTCAATAAATTAAATGTCACAATTCTCTGGAGAAAGTGTCACTTTTCGTGTTTAGAAACTACTAATCATTTAATTAACAAAGGCTCTGCCAAGAGATTTACAAAGGAACATGAAACAAAGCATACAAAAAAAAGAAATTATATTGAAAGGAAAAATTCTAATTCCGGTGATTATTAAACTAGTATATTACATGACAAATGTATCAGAATTAAGTTATAGCGACCGACAAAAAGAAATTAACTTTTAGCGATGCTCCAGAGTTTTTGACCTGTAACAGATGATCATCATTTCCATTACTTAAATCTTTTAAATGCCATTATAAATTCATTCTTACAATGCAAAATCCCAATGCAGCTCTGGAGAAAAGAAAATGATTCCTTACAAATATAATTAAAATGTAGTTAAAGGTGTTATTGCCAGAACATTCGTCCACATTTTCATATCATTGACGAATCTACGTTGCAATTTTCACAGCAGACATTATTAATGTCATGCATATGGCCGCCGAAAGATAATTGCTTTATATGATGGATGATGTATGATGGTGATAATGTAGAATGTATGATGATGGTTAACTAACCCGGTTTGTTGACAGGTGTGTGTGTTTAAGGTTGAGAGCTGAGTAGTCTCTCGGCCTCGTCGTTTGCTTCAGCCTGAATTTTCCATTTCTGTAATGCAAACATTAAAACCAAAGTAACATTAACCACACAAAGTTGTTGTATGTATTTATGCTTGTGTTGTCCAAACTGAAACTGGAAACTAAACAACTAGTATGTACCTCTTCAAGGTTTTCAAGTTCCATGATCTGCTCTATCTGTTGAGCAATGTTTTCCTGTGAAGCAATGGAGTTATACTCAGTCTCAGATTCGACCACATCAGGCTCATAAGTAAAAGTACTCTTCGAAATGACTCACAGTATTGTTCACTGACTCAGCTGCAAGAACATCAGTGTCCATTTCCACCTCGATCTCAATCATCGAAGATATCTAAACGTAAAATAAATCGAGCTGGAAAGATTTAAACCAAGAAATCAAATGAGATTTTTGAATAATACAGGATAGTTTTGTTTCAATTTCTTACTCTGGCGTAACTATCGATCAGCTCAATCTTTCCCTTTATGGAGTTCTCTAGACTTTCTCGTACCTTCTTTACTCTTGTTCTTCGAGTACTATATTCAAGTAAGATTCACATGTTATGATAGATCTCATTGTGTTAAACCATTTCCCAGATGATGGGGGTTCAAATTATCTGAGAGGGTCATACCGGTAAGCTGGCTCTCCCACAGCTAAAATTTTGTTCTCAAGCTGAGACATTCGAGCCAACATCCACACCTAAATAGACACTAGGAAGTTTCAGTAGTGTTTTTGATTATATATTGCTAGCTTCAAAACGTATGGATAAATGAGACTAGATACCTCTTTCTCAACTGCTTCTTTTAGATCTCTAATGCGACGCTGTAGCACATCATACTGAGATAAAAGTTGCTGTTTGATACCGACCACATCCACTGTCCGTTCAGGGAGCTGAAACCGTGTAAAGGATTATGAAATTCATATCCAATAGACTAAGACATGTTCACTTAGCACAGTTCACATGATAGAGAATATATACCTGATTTAGCTGAGGAAGGACAAATGAGTTTACTGTTGCTCCAATTGCTAGTGATGCAACAGCAGCAACTGAGAGTAATTGAGGCAAACTGGGATCAATAATACCAGAAGCAGCATCTCCAGTAGCCAAAACAGCAAGAAGGGTTATTAGAAACGATGGTTGCAAGATCTTATCTCCATCTTTACTAGGAGGCCTTAGCAAGAGCGATTCTCGCCCATCCTTGTGCTTTGTGAGGCTCATAGGTTCTCCAGGGTAAAAGTTTGGAGCTTTGGGGCTAAATTTGAAAGGTCCCACTTGTCTGTAAACATTAGAAGGAGCAGCAGATGCAATTGTCACTCTTTCTCCTTCTTGCGCAGGGAGTTCGGCTGTCTCAGTGGCAAACCGGTGCGTTCGGGCTGTACCAGAAGGAGTTTTTACCTGAAATCCAATGCAACGGTTACTATGTCTGCTATACCACAATTAAAATATTTTGAAAAATGAAAATGTGTTAACAATGGCGATTACCACAATAGAGTGCACCGAAGATGTGATTTTGTTCTTCTTTATCTGGATTAGTCTGAGCCCTTTTTCCCAGAGCGGAATGTCCTTGCTGCGTTCGGCAGATGTAGCTCCTTAGAGAAAGTGAATATCCAAGCATCAACACCACACACGTCTCAATTTGTTTTGCAGGTCAAATTAACAAACAAAAACCGCTCTCACACCCAACAAAAGCTGTATCAACTTTTCCCTAGAGCTAGGCAACAAAGCAGAGGAATACTAAAGAGTACTAACCCGAGCTCTTCTGATTCAATGCTGGTTATGTCACCAGAGAAAAGCTCGTATTGGTAACGGCAATTAGCACAAGATGAAATCTAAAAAGACATAGACAGCAAATCAACCAGCTATTCTGAAAAAAGATATACTGAGCAAAGACAAACAATTAGATTGGCCATTACCTGAACTCCATGCTGGGGTTGTGCAACAGCAATGGCAATCAAACAGGTGGGACATCTCACAATTTTACCAAAGGGAACCTAAGATCAATAGCAATGTATTTCAATATCATGCTTATAAACATAGCCAGACCATTTACATGAACTGTTAACATTCTAGGATAGTAAATAAGTTCAAGGTGTTAGTTACCTCCTCAGCAGGAGAGATTCCAACACGGCAAATATCTCTGATGATCCTCAGAGAATCAGAAACCCTCAAGGAAGCAGCAAGACTATTAACCAGCATCGTGTAGACTTCAACATCAGGCCTTGACCATCTCCATCTATCAATTTCACTTCCACCTGTGAAACACACACAATCAATCCTACATTTGCTTCAACAATCACAGAAACTCCTACTCTGTGTGAATAGTAAAGTTGAGATGAGCGAACCTAAATCGAAACTCGCTCGCATGGCGTAGAAGATTGACAACGCAAGATCAACATTGCCGCGACTGACCGCGGCGGAGATAATCGAACGGCAATCTTCAAGTTCAACGACTCCACCGCTATTGGACCCGAATCGTTCAGAAATCAGCTCGAGCGCTTCATCCGCATCTCTAACAGCTGATACGCTGCTTAGAAGCTCGTCGTCGAGAATAGACGACGAAACATCGGATGCGGCTGAGCTGACACTGTCTCTGCTCCGGTCTCCATAGGATGAGAATAAAATCGTCCGCCGTATACGACTGAAAGTCGCCGGTTTGAAGAAGATAGAGCGAAGAAGAGGATGAGTATCGTGGAGGTTAGGGATGCGATTGGTTCCGGAGAATACGGAGGAAACGACACGAAGACTCATTGATTAAAATCGGAAGAGAAAGTCACCGGCGAAGAAGACGGAGGAGCATCGGTGGGGGTGGCTCTCGGAGATGAGAAACGAGAGGCTAAGAAAGAGGGAAGAAAAGAAACCAAACGGTCTTTAATGATCATTTTTTCTTTCTTCTATCTATTGCTTCGTTTGATCTTCTGCCGTTGATTTTTCGAAACATGACAAAGAAAAAAACAATCCGACGGCTGAGGTTGAGAGATACATTATTAAGTTACACAAAACTAAAAATTGAAGAATAATGGAGGTGCGGGGAATCGAACCCCGTGCCTCTCGCATGCGAAGCGAGCGCTCTACCATATGAGCTACACCCCCAAACCATGTCAATTAACAAGTTTTTGAAGATATATTTATAATTTTGAAAATAAAAATCACGTCCTCTTAGCTTTTTCAAAACGGTAGTAACAGAAATGTGAGACACCATTTCAGTAGAGAGCTAAGCAACAAAGCAACCACGGCGGCAGGAATGGTCGATACATAGAATTAGCTTCTTTTTTTTTAAATGATGGGAGACTTCCTCTTCTCCAAATTAAATGGTTGCCAGAACGAGATTAAATAGTGTATTCTTATTTACTAGAGCGAAATTGCGGTAGAAACAACCATGGCAGAAATTGATTATTAACAGAAGGTGTGGGAGAAGAGCCAATGGGATTCTCTAGCTATGAAAAAAATCACAACAGATTAGAAAAATGTAAGAGCACGATACACTCCATTTGGAGGGAGATATATATATGATAGACGCTATGGAGAAGAACCGGGAAAAGAGTGTTATTCCCGACCCGTACAATTTTTAAAAATGTGAATTTGTACATGTACAAAGATCCAATGACAATTTCTACCCAAACTCACTAAATTAAATTCACATTTTATACCTAGTTAGTATAACTTCTGCCAATTTCAGACACTGATATTGATTTGGATGAGATAAAAATTACTAATTGTGATATCTATATTTTTCATTTTTTTTTTATGTTTGTGGAATTTATTTATATATAAAAAGTTGTATTTTTGAATAATAAATTTATTGTAATATTCTTTTATATATTTAAGTTGTGATATATTTCGAGGAATTCATCTATATATACGTAACCTTAACAAGTGCTTAAGTTATTGATAATATTTGTTTAATTTCTCAGTAATGGGAACGATGGCACCTCCACCGTTCGACGAGAGGCGTGAGCATATACTAGATGTTGCAAGCTCTTTGATGATCGTGGTCCTTATTTTAATGAGCATTTTGGCATGCATGTGTCTGTTGGTTTTGGAATGGTTGAGTAATGGTTATTTTAATAAGGAATACAAACGCGTCTTCGATATCGAACTCGGGACGTTGCCTGCCGGGGAGATGATCCAGGAAACATCCGATGGAGACAGCCAATAAGACAGAGAGACAGAGAGATTATTTATTGTTACGTACGATCGAGTTGGACATTAGTTCTACGTACGGGTTTTACTTGTAGTCATCATCCATCGATCCATCGACTTAATTATATATGTAATGCAACTCCTTTTTTCAACTCCTTTTTTTTTATGATCAACTTGTGTTCGACTTGAGGTGATCGATCGATGTTGAGTTCATTATACAATTAAATATTTATCTTCAAATTATTATCGCACAAAATACTAAAATTTAATATATAAAAAATAAAACAATTAAAATTAGTTACACTAATCCGCCGGAGATCTAGCTAGGTGGTACGTACGTACTTATCCAATACTTAACTAACTTTTCCTAATCTATATGTAACTCAAATTAATGTAAAAATATAAGAGAAAAGAAAAAGAAAAAAACATCTAGCTCTCCCTCTGACTCTCTCTATATATATATGTATCGTTTGTGTATTTTACAAAGACGTTGACAATTTATCGTCTCGTATTCATTTAATCAGGAATAATCATCGACAAGTCCTCTGGGCCAACACCATGAACATGGATGCATCACGATATGAAGAAACAGTAATAGTTTTGTTCAGGATAATGGTGGTGATGTCCGTGATTGTTATCCTTTTCGGCTCGTGTCTTTGTGTTATATCTTGCTGGCGACTCTGTACTCATGACGATGATGAAGATTTTGTGCACCTTACTTAATTATGGAGCTTGAATTATATACATGATCAAGACAAAGCACCAAGTTTGCGATCAAGATCTCTATCAATTATCTTCCATAGTCAATAGTCATCATTTTTTTTTCCCTTAAATTATTCTTATGGATTTGCTTCATTATTAATTACTCGTAATCTTTCTCTAATTATCTTTCTGAATTGAAGGCCTATCACAGATTTACCACAAAGATATTGTGGTTACGTATCTTTTGTTTCGGAGACAACACTTATCTTCAGAAACGATTAATTATCCTATACATAAGAAAATAAATATTTTTACAATTAAATCACAGCCATATATTCGTCAGGTAATATTCGGATTACAAACCAGAATTAATTAGGACTAAGTAACAACAATATATATATATATATATGCAAGATCGCTTCTTCTCTCTTTAAAGCTAGGAGAAACTAAACGCAAAGCTCTAGTTAAATATTATAACAACGTACATTAACTTGTTACTGGATCGCTAGCTAGTTTGACCATGCAAGGTGATGGTGACCAGCACTCCTCAGAAGAAACATTTACACTAATGTATGCGATCATCGTAGCTATATTCCTTTACCTTGTCCTTTTGGGCGGCTTAGTATTTCATTTCTACCGTCAGTGGATATCTCAGAATAAACCCTCATATACTACTCTTCGAACCGACGACAATATCAACGACCACGACGTGGACCATGGATCCATCATCGTCAACCGAGTTTGAAGTCTCATAAATTAGTTATATATGGTTAATTTGTTGGTTGGTCATTCGATTTAGATCAATTTGTTCCTTCCTTGGTTATGTTTTGCTTTAATTTTGTGTCTTTCTACAAGGAATATATCTATTAATCACTTCCAGTGAAATTCCTTTATTATGTTTTGTTTATCTCTCTCTTTCTATCTGTACAAGCATATTTTAATTCAGCAAAATCCTTAGTGTTATTTTCTTTGTTTCATACATGCATATAATTCTTTTGCGGGTCTTGTATTCTCATATTTAAGATCTAATGTCACGATCATTCTCAATGATCAATTGATGATTACAAGAAACTGAAAACCCCATGCAAAACCCAAAAACAAGGCTCTTGGCAACGATTTAATCAGAAACGAATCAAGTAAGATAAACAAGAAACCGCAATTACAATTTATGAGATAACAAAAGCATAACTAGACTAATTGAAACACCCACAAACTAAGAAATAAAAACTATAACGACAATAGGACAAAATTAAACAAGCCTTCTTCGATCTAGGTCCTAGTACTACTTTTTTTTTTTTGTTCACCCGGTCCTAGTACTACTAGATTGTATTCCTGCTGATCTTATTCGATGATATGCCGCGTGTAGGTCGTGGTCGTCGCTTTTGTTATAAGTCTTGGCGTGTCGGAGGAGGAAGAGGCAGGCACAAAGGGCAAGAAATATAACTATTAGGAAGAAGATCATAGCCGAAAACACAAATATCAACCGTATGTCTATCCATTCCAATGATCCCTTAGGTTGATACTCCATCGAGCGAGGTCAATTAAATTATATGCCACAAACACTATCTATGATCACGAGCTTCCATCAATTAATTATTTGTCTTTGTATATGTATGTATTGATTTTATCGTTGAAGATACGATCGAGTCTCGTGATAAGGATTCTTATTCCTTAAATTATCCAGTTATTGTTTGATCAAAAATAAATATAAATTATCCAGTTATTAATAAAAACTAAAAACAAACAAAAATATCTAATGCGAATATATGGTACGAGATCGATCTCAAACTATTCTAACAAAAATAAAAATATCTATCTAAAAAAATGTGATGAGCAAAAATGTTATAGAGTACTTCATATCATCGCACGTCATATAAAAAAAACAATGCTCAAGCTAGAACCAATATTTATGATGATCATCATGATCAAACTCATTTTCATCATAGATCACATCTTGAGCATCTTCATCTATCCATCTCCTGGACTTCTGGACACTCCACGATGCTCTCTAAAGACGGTTCCCATGCCATCGGTGATGATAGTGGTGAGAATGATGAAGCTCTTGAGACCCTCTTCTCTAGCTCTACCATGACATCTCTCGTAACCATCAAGTTTCCATCATGACTCCTATTCATCTGAAGCAAAAACATGTCCAATTCATGTCTAGTAAGCACTATCTTCACCTTCATCCCACCATTATCACCTTCCTTATCATCACCATCAAGTTTGAAGGACTCTTTTGCTCTTTCCTTCACCTCTATCTTTCCTTTTTCTTCTTCTTCTTCTTCTCTTTGCATCCATCTCTCCATGCAGTTGCCCATTAACACCTAAGCAAATATAGAACAAATCTCAAGAAAAGAAAAAGAAAAAGAAAAAACTCACAGAATTGCTTCTCTTTTTCTATGACAATAAGTGATTGATCACATGAGTGTGTGAAAACACATGTATACATATATACGAGGCGAAATTATTAAATATCAATCAAATCTTTTTTTAGTGATTTTTCTTTTTGAAGCCTTTGAAATTTCCCAACGACTCTCGTTATTATTCTGAGTGAAAATGACATATTTGAGAATTTTAAACTCCAAAAAGTAATCAAGATCAATATGAAATAGATACGTTAAACTTTATGAATCATTTTGCATGGAGTCTAACACATGTTTCCTTTTAACAATTAATTATCACACCATCTAAAAGTATCGTATTCTAGATTTGTTGATCAATTAAAAAGGTTTATATATAGAAATAATAAGCAATATAAACTTTAGACCATAAATGTAATTTTATTGATACTAATTATCATAAAAAGACAAACCGTTAGGTTAATGTCGACATCAACCGTTCGGAACCTATTGCCCGACAGTGTCACGGACAAAACGCAAAGACTTTTGAGATGCGCGGCTATTAAACCAACATTAAAGAAAAATTACAATTTTAAGTATAGGTTAACAACTTTAATTTTATTTTTTATTTAAACCCAAGAAAAATGTTTATAAAAACCACACTATGCAATACTCCAATAGATATTTCAAAACTCATCAAAGACTTTTATTTTTCTTTGTCTTTATGTGGTTTGTTTTCGTCAATATACATTTTCCGATTCACGTGATCGGACCAAATGTGAACACGAATATATCCTAAGAAATTTTTAGTTACCTGCACAAGAAGAAGCACTGATACATTAGGAAGAAAACAACTTAAATTGAATTTTTGATTCTTTTCTTATGTAATCAGTAGGAATTTACAATACCTTTTGTTTGCATCTCACAAATTCAAAGTTTCCGATGTTCTTTAATCTTTACCTCGTCACAAATTTCTACTATATGACAAAATATATTCTTGTTTTTATTGCACAAACAGAAATATACATACTTAGAATATAATACAAATATCACCGGAAATTAATGAAATGTCGGGAGACAAGTGCCAGATTTTAGGTATGACTTTCGTAACATTATTATTGTGTAATTAAATAGCCCTGATCGATGTCATCATATCGTATATAATATCTTCTTTACAAAATCTTAAGATTTTAAATTTGGTTATTAAATATAACATGCATGAGACTACATTTCGGTTTCAGCTTATAAGCTTAAATTCATCTACGATTTTGTTAGTACATAATGTAGATTTAACCGGAGATGAATTAAAAACCTATATCTCGGATTTGGTTTAGTTCGTAACTGGCATCAAGCTTCAAGTATGAAGTATGTATTTACAAAATCAACCTTAGTTGCTTTTGGTTAGTGTAATTATTGGTTTGAGTAATACAATCAAATAAAACTTAGTTGCTTTTGGTTAGTGTAATCGGTTTGAGTAATACAATCAATCTCATCTTTAATTTGAGTTGCATTTGAAGCTGGGCAAAACACAATAGCACACATGAGTCATGAGTCTCATGACACACCGACATAGTCACATACGTATGTTATGTATTGTAACGTGTCCAAAGCCGCCTCGATATATAGATAATAGAATTGTACACCTTTTTGACCAATAAGCGAATCTAATGGGCTACAAATGTAACTTATGTATTGGGCCTAAACTGAAGCCTATATTGTAAAATGATATTTTGACCCATACAATGATATTATATTGACTAAAACCCATACAAATCATGTATGATAGAATGTGATGTAAACTGGCACAACATTATTGAGATTGATGTGTCCTCAGTCCTCCTACTACTTGATAGTTTGTAAAATGGTGGACTGTTTGTGATTCATGTTATTTTTTTTCTTTTCTTTCAAGTTTTTTTTTTTTTTTTTTGGTAAAAGGTTAAATTTTATACCAAATTTTCAAATTTGTGACACAAATTACAAAGAAAACAAGTAGCGGAAAAAAACCGAAAATCTACAGAATAAACAATAACAACAAAACAGCAAAGGAGAACATCGTAAACTTAAAAGCGGAAACGAAAGAAGAAACACCGATTCCGAATAGCCAAATTCGGAAATTTGCGTGATTTCCGCAACTCCGAAGAGTTGGAGTCCCATCCTAGTTGCCACGAGCAAACTAAATCCAAACAGAGGCCAGCCTTCAAAACCTCAAGATAAAGCGCCTACAGCTTCTCCGCAAACTAACGCAAAAACGTAATGACAACAATGGACTTATACTCAAATCCGATGGTTACAGGAGCATCTACGAACAACCAGAAAAACCACTTCCAATCATCATTCCTATTGCAAACAATAGGAACCATCTCCCTCGGATAAGCGAAGCCATATAGACCAAAACGCCGCCTCTATTCTTCTCTTCAAGACTCCACTTCAGTAATACGAGCACATCCGTAACTGTTACACGAAAGGAAAAACACCAACATCGAACCACCAGGGCAGAGATAAGGGGATTTGATGAGGAGCCACAAACTAGCAGCGACGGAAGACGAAACTAACACTAACGCCCTCCCACAAGACAGAGGAGACTCGTCGTTAACAAGAAACCTTCCCACGACAAGCCTATCCGCCACACGAACAACCAAAAGCAGCAATTACACAAACTGATACTGAGGAAGCCTCCACTTGTGCCACAGATCCGAAATCCTTACTCTCGACCCCGGAAGTAGGAGAAACGATGATGGAGAGACCGAGAACGAGAGCAACAAACAAAACTCCGTGTAGAGGCCAAGGAACCGAAACAACACCATACCTGAGAAGGGAGAAAGGCGAGTAGAGACCGGCTAGCTAAACCGGAATCCAGAGACGCCACAAGCAAAGCCATTGTAGAGACCGAACTGCTCCCAAGCCACAACAAAACCACCAAAAACCAAGATCAACAGATTTAGAACCAAAAACCAAAACAGGAGAGAAAGTCGTTTCACCAAGATCCACCAGAGACGCCACGGAACACGAACCACTGTCCTCAAGCAGCCACGGCAGCGGCGACCCAACCCTTTGGCAAGTATTCTCTCTCCACGCGATGGTTCTCCACTAACCCGAGACTTCAGAGAGATGAGCTGATTCGAACCACCAACACGGAAGCAAACGAACAACACAAGCAAAAGAAAGAAAATTAAGAGAGAGCCCTCTCACGGTACCGGCAAAAAACGCCGGTGACCGGAGAGGCAAACTATCCTAGCTAACAAAATTATGTAGTTATGTTAAACTATCCTAGCTAACAAAATTAATATGCTTATATTATTAATCTGCTATCCTACCTAACAAAATTAATATATAGCTTATAATTTTACGTAATATCTATTTGTCTCAGTCTTTCACGATCATACAGTTCAGTATATAAGGGTTGTACTAGTATTAGGACTAGAACTAAAAACTAACATTTTAATTGTTGGAAATGGGTTATTTTATAAAATCCGATATAAGGTCATCCTCAACTCAAGTATTTTAATATTAAAATTTACACATGAAATGAAAACCATGATAGACAAATCATGACCACGTAAATACACGATTTGGTGTCTTTCCTTGTTCGCTATTTTCAAAAGAGTTAGCTTTTGAATGTATCAGAATTAATTGTTCCCCTATCTTTCTTCTTGGTTAAACAGTTCCCTTATCTATAACGACTTCTTCTTGCCGTTGAACTTTGTATTTTCGTAATCCAAAGTCAAAATATTTTTAATAAAAAATGTAGCAATAATCTTAAGGATGTGGTTTGAAACATTCAAAAGAATACGACTTTTTCCTTGTTATTAGAAAACAAATTAAGGCTCAGAAATCTTCATTTGGAAGAATTCAAAGTCTACGGTGTGAAACTACTGATGAAGACCCCAAATAAGCCGTCGTCGTATCACTTTTGGCTGCATCTATTAAATTAAGGATTAGTGCCGAAATCAAAACTCCGTAATTTTCATTTAGTCCTTTTTCGTACGGACGGACTTTCGTGCTTGACTATCTAACATGAACCCACAATTTTATTTTTATTTTGGGCAAGAAACCCTACTTTTATGCCTTCAAACTAATTATGGAACAAATCAGAAAAAATATAATTTGATTGAGTAGTCAAAATATATACTTAACAGGCTTGTTTATAAAAAGTAACGCAGTGACCGTGACTATGTGTGTAAGGTCGTATCAATAAAAATGGAATTAGAACCGCACATATACATATATTAGGCATATCCGCATATAGATTAGAGGACGACTAGCTAGTTGCATGGATGAATGATATGTAGAATAAACTGATTACAAATAAGAGTGGTCCGTTATTGATTAAACTTCAATATTGCCTAGTTATTAGGTACGAACTAATACCAAATGCGACGTGATTGGAGACCATGATAGTGGCCCCTATCTATAAATTTCGTTTCTAACTTTATATCCTCTCATATATGACGTCCACGAAAAATGCCAAGATCCTATCTATATATATAACTAAGTTCATAAAAAAATATATATGGTTCAACTAACAACTATAATGAACGTAATGGTGTACTCATGTTACAAGAAAACATACAGTATATAAATATACAATTTAAAATCTGTTAGAAAAAAACAAGAAAACAAAAAAATCTAACAAACCATTTAGTAAATGAAGAATCTAAAAACTAGATTTTCGTGACACATTTGAAAATATTTTGTTGTTGCATGAATTCATGTTTCTATCGACTATTGATAGAGAGCGGAAGCTAAAAAAAGGATAAATTTGGGAATACTCTTCCCCGTGCCCGAAAGCTCGTTAGATAAGTTGGGAATACTCTTCCCCGTGCCCGAAAGCTCGTTTATAAAGGAGAAACCTCTCAACTTTATTAATCAAAATCAATATCATAAACTAAATTACAAATTTTCCTAAAAGTCTCTATTTATAATAAACCTTAAAACCCTAATACTTGGAATATTCTAGAATAATAATAAATAATTAGCTAAAGATAATAACTAAAGATATTTGAGAATATTTGGAAATATTTCAAATATCTCGCTGCATCAGGTCTCGCCGGCCAAGAAAAGATTCGTCCTCGAATCTTGTATCTGCGCTGCATCAGCTCCCACCGGCCAAGAAAGATTCGCCCTCGAATCTTCAGCAGGGTGTT